TATACCATGGCATAATATCGATAACTCGGAAACAGAACAATCAATTTTAAAGGCTTCTCAGGTAGCTAGCTAACGTTGTTCGTTGTCATTTTGGCATCAAAATGTCATAAATGTCATTTTGATGTCAAAATAACAATAACGTCTGCTATCTGAGTTTTATATACCCAACCTGTTTATCTTTTATTTTATTATTTCGACTACACAACATAAATAGTTAGCAGAAAGTAATTTTGATGCCGAAAATTTTTAATAACGTTACGAGGAATATTAACGAACACAAGAGATGCACCACACTTTTTCGAGTAAATAGATTAGTTTACGGGCTATCTTATGTATAACGCGTCCAAGAATCTATCGCACTTTCTTTTGTGTACCAGAATCTTTAATCTTTGAAATTTTTTTTTAAGAAACGTTTTAATCAAATTTTTTCCTTTATTCTCTAACTTTTTAATATCAAGCATTTCTACAAGAAATTCCTTTTTCTCGAAATTTTTAAAAATATTGATTTGACATTAAATATCTTTAAATCTGAAACGCCAAAACTTTGCGAGAGCAAGTTCTGGTTAAAGTTAATGATGGTTGAGTTAATTCCGAGATATTAATAGAGTAGATGAATAGGGTTTTTGGATAAATCGCATTAAAATTTAAAGTACTCGCCTTAGGCCCGGTTGAACCAACATCACTTTTTAAGCAAGACTTAAAACTCTCTCCGTCTCGTTTTAAAGCGAAAGAGAGACAGAGAGAATTTTAAGCTTTGCTTAAAGTCAAAGAAACGTTGGTGCAATCGAGCCTTACTGGTTTAACATATTATACATTGACTTATTTCACTAACTCTGCTGGTTGCCAAGCAATTCACTCCTGTTACCTTTCTACTATATATACGTACATATTTCGGACATACATATATTTTCAACGCAAGTCTTTAATCTTAATTCGACTCACTTTTCGATATCCGTTCATTCGCTCCAATTATACTACTATTATACGTACAGAAATACATTTTACAACGATCGTGTAATTGCGATTGTTGCAAAAAACAACGATCGTTCTCCAGGAAAGTCGGTGACGAATCTATGAGAGAGATATATCGAGTATTATTATATACATCTTGCACTATTTTTCAACAAAATTTTTATATTTTACTGCATATTTCAACAATATATGATTTCGCGTGTAACATAATTTCATCATGTTTAAAAAAATAACTACATGCTTTGCACATTTTGTTTCTCTTTTATACATCATTTGACTTTTATACATCATACTATTATACGAGACTCTCATGTTTTATGAGTATCCACGCAACATTGTCCAGTTTAATGAGATTTAATCGTAGGTTAATTAGTATATATACTTTTCCTTCTTTGAGTCGGGATCTTACGAGAATTTCTTTTGCGATTTACGCGGCTGAAATAAAATTACATCTTCCTCGTTATATCTTTCCGCTGCAATTATAAAGATACGTTTTTTCCAGTCTTATTCTCTTAATTTTCTTTTTCTTCCTCGTTATTTGCGTTTGTCAATTATTTCAAAAGGATTCTCTTTCTTTTTGCAAGAAAAAATTTTCGCGCTCTATTAATACACGTTCCACGAGTAATCACGTAATACGAGCCGTAAATCGATTACGAGAGTGCATATATTCTTGCCCGATGCACTCGAAATACGAATCTCTGCGTCATGTCCTATATATTGAAGCGACTAATTTTTTTTTCTCGCGTTCTTGGCGACCGTGGCGAATTAATCGCGCGGTATCGTGCCCGTGGCGAAATAATGCAGGAGCAGCCGCGCAATTAAAGTCCAGCGATGGGTACTCCCGGCTCTCCGCAAGAATATATAAAACCGGCGCGAAAGTTTATGCAACGTGGTCGCGATAAATTGCAGCCGATAAGGCGCGCGTATATCACCGCATAGCGGTGCAAACACGCGCTCCTCCGCCCCCGCGATTTTCACAAACGAATGAACGGACGAACGAACGAACTGCCGACATAATTGCCGCAAATTCGTGCACACGTTATCGTGCATGCACTTGTGCATCCTTGCGCGCGTGTTATACACGCGTGCCGCGAATCGGATTGCCTCGAAATTCGCGAATTTTGCTTGATATCCGTGGCCAGAGAGATTGAACGCCAGGCATAAATAACGCGACGCGTCCGTGCTAAAGAGATATATTTAACGACCGACGCACTCGACGGACATGTGTGCAAAACGTGCGGCGCGCTTTGTAACTGTGAAAATTGATCGTCGTCACGTAAAATATCAAAGGGCAAGAAAAAAAATTTTGTACGCCGAAAAGAGAGATTATTTTCAATCTCTGTGAAAATGATGTTTCTAAAAAAGAGAAGCCGGCGTGAAATAACGCGGTTTGATGACGCAACGTTATCGATCGCGCCTGATTTTTTTTTAATTTTTCACATTTTTCTCCCTTTCGCGATAGCGATACATTTTTACTGGTCGAGTCCCTTTTGACGTTGATTTTCTTAGCGATGAAACGATGATGTATTTTCTATCATACTAATGTCTTCTTGTTGTGTCCCTGAAGAAGACAGTCTGGCATCAAACTCCATGCTAATGGAGTTTATACGGCAAACACACACGACGAGAACGATTTTGTTGAAGTATCTAGAAATTTAGCTAGATACAGATCTGAAAATAATCTTGTTAAACCATCAAAGTAATTATGTTTGACCATCAAAATAATTACGTAGGAAGTTCGAGCATAACGATGATGTTGCAAAAAGTTTTGACATTCTATTCAACCAGCGTGCTTACATAATTATTTTGAAGTGGTTCAATAAAGTTCCTTTCTATATTTAACTATATAAATATTTAGATGCTTCAATAAAATCGTTCTTTCTGTGCATCTGCGTTCAACAGACAAAGCAGTTCAATGGGTGCTCAGTGATTCTTTATTAGAATTGGTTTGATACACTAAAAACGTACTAAATTTTAATAAATATTTATTTGAATAGTTCTAAGTAAATATTTACTAAATGTAAACATATATTTGATATAAAAACTATTAATTTGATTTAAATATCATTTCTTTATTGAGTAAATATTTATTTACTGTAAGTAAATGTTTACTTATTGTTAGTGCTATTCAGAGAAATATGTATTAAGATTTACTAAATTTTTTTCGATGTACTTATAAGTTCAGAAAAGAATTAAAAGTAAAAATCAGTTATATTAAAGAACCACTGAGCACTCACACTGATTTGTCTGCTGAACACAGCCACCATTTGTCGATGCAACGAAATCAATTCCAAACTAACGAGAGAATTGAATAGTTACAGGATTCATAGATGAAAAGAATACCCACCGGACAAAGATCGACATACACATAGATCGATCAGAAACAGGCGGCTCGGTCGTCCATCCACACAGATCACACGGACTACATGGACCAACATCTTCACATACGCATGATCGAATCCACGCGTGAAACCAAAGCGCGAGCCGGCGAATTCTGTTGGTTCGCGAGGCCTTCGACAAAAAAAAACAAAAATAACGCGATCTTGATAAGATCACATCAGTTGCTTGAAATAGAGCTACTTGGGCATGCGATCGATTTGCATGCTTATAGAAAGGCAGTAGTTTCGCTAGATCCTTTGTATTTCACGAGCATGCGCACATCTCTCTGAACTTGAGCACTTGTAACATCGTAATACGTGAAACGATGACGAACAACAACGAACTGTGCCAAATGAGCTTTTCCTCGTAAATCCAACTTTCGTTTGCTGTCCTTTTTCCTACCATTTTAACGATTGTTTCCTCTTCCATTTTAATCATTTTGCACGTGGAAGGGAAATCCAACTGCGTGACATCTCGTTTTAAATTAAAAAAATATATATTTATATATTTATATGTATATATATACGTTAGCAAAGTAGACGAACAAAATGTACTAAAGAGTAAACTGAACGGAAAAGATAATGGAGGTGTATTGTAAAGACGCATGTGCGAAAAGTAATAGTGATGGCAGAGGAGAAGAAGAAGGGAGAGAGCAAGAATTTCCAGAGGCAGGTGTTACATTAAAAATTGACGTAAGTAATGTATTTTCATATTTACAAGAGTTACGAGTATAAGTCTAATTGGGTAAGTCTCGAGTACTTGTACATATGTGTATGTGTATGTTACGCTTGTAAAAATATAAAGCGCGTTTTTTCAAAACGTAATTATCCCATCGATATCGCTTCAAGACCGCGTCTCCGGAGATTGCGGTAATCCCGCCCCGAAGATCCCAAGCTTAGCTATCGTATATAAGTCTAATATCTACTCGCGCACACCGGAATTCCATTTCGATATTGCGACAGTTACCGTCGTCACCAAATGCGATCTATTTCTCCGTAAATCATCCTCATCGACGCAACGAGTACATTTTGAAAGAACGCCTCGGTTAAAGATGCTTTCACTGAAAGCGATTAATCTTTAAGGACGTCTTCGGATTCTGATAGGCCGCGAAAATTACACGCGTACAACCGCCAGTTTTACAAAAAAACTGAACCTTACATCGACGAGAACGAAAGTTTTCGCTGCGTAGAAAAATACGAGGCGCTCGCGAAGTCTCTGTCTATTTTATGAAAGCATCAATCTTAATTCTTGCGAGAGCAAAATTTCCAGGAAAGGCGATGCAAGAAAATTGTTATAAAAGAAATTCGAGATTTTCAAATCTTCTTAGATCGATGAAGAAGCTCTGAGCTTCTTTAACCTTTCGGAAATTATTTGCTTCAATTAATTACATCGTTAAGAAATAATGCCAATTATTTATCGAGATCAAAAAATAATTTTCTACACTAAAAAAGAATTTACTAAATCTTAATATATATTTTTTTATTAGTACTAAATAAATATTTACTTACAGTAATACATATTTGCTCAATAAAAAAAATGATAGTTAAATTAAATTAATGGTTTTGTATCAAATAAATATATGTTTACATTAGTAAATATTTACTTAGAACTATCCAAATAAATATTTATTAAATTTTAGTATTTTTTTCAGCGTACAAATAAAACACGACATATAATGCCTTATTAAAATTTTAAAAAGATACAATATAATGTATAAGCGCCATAACACTAACTTCGGAAAAATAGAGTAGAGACTTTACTAGCATCCTGCATGAGAATCTCGGCGATACTTCCTTACGAGAAATTTCTCATTGAATTGAAGATTTTGATGCAATAACATGCTAAGCCGCGCCAGAGAAAAGTTTTTGTGCGGTGCAAGATTCCTCCTGGCTTATACTTACAGATTTCATTATATTAGCTCCGATAAAAAGGTTCTCTTTCCTTTTAAGAATAACGAGGAATAAATATAATGGAAGGAAAAAGGCACGAGACAAAGGTACCGTTTTAATAATTTACAACCTTTTTCAATGTCGAACTTTTCGTACGGTTTAGCATATTGTTGTCGCAAGTTTCTTAATTAATCTCCACTCTCTCCATCGTAACCGAGGGAAGTTTTTATCGACTAATTGTCTTCACAAATATGTATATATCGTCTTCACAAATATATATAACCGTTTGTACAAGATGCTTATATTCGCGTTAGCAATAGTTTTATTCGATAATCTTCAATTCGGAACGATTAAGCGAAACGCGAAGACTTGACGGATGAGATACAAAATATTTTTAGATAATCGGAGGACGGTCGCGCTCTCCTCTTTATTAAAAATGCATCATCGTGCTCTCTCCATCCCTCGCAGAGCTTGACTCGGCATGCCAGGAGGTTGGGCAGCTGGCTCACCCCCTCTCTCAGGATCACTGTTAGTGGCCTCCGAAATTTTGACCCGCTTGTATTTCCCTGTAATTTAATGTCGCTTTGTATGTCGCGTCAGGCATTGTGAAATTTTATTACATTCTAGTCTAGAAATCAAAAATTTTATCTAGATTACAAAAAGCATAAATTAGATAATTCTTTAGAAATAATTCCCGATCAATTTTAAATAAAATAACTTTTTTTCTCAATAAAAAAGTGATATTTAAAAAATATATAATATTTAAAAAAAAAATAATGCTTAAAATCTCACATAATCGTAAACAAATTAGATGTAGATTATTATTTTATATAATGAGTTTTAGGTAATTTGATGCGTATCGTGAATAAATTCGAATACTTTCGACTAGTAATTCAGTAGCTAGATGGTTTTATTTTAAGCTATCACAGAATGCTTACTAGCTAAGCGGACCATGGTGACGCCCCACCAAATGCTCCAGCCCCATCCGACGAGACAGAATAGAACGGTAAACATTTGGCCCACGCCCACGATGAGATTCACGATCAATGCACCGAGTCGTGATCTCACTCCGGCAACGGCGGAAAATCTCGGCTGTCCAGTGCATAGATTGAACAAGCCGCTCCAAACGGTTCCTAAGCGAATTCAATTAAATTATCAGAGAGGGAATACTGATTGTAAGGGATAAACCACTTGAATATTTAGAAAACCGATAATGGTGGCTTTTCAATGGAACACTTTGCTTTCGAGAGACGGTGGTATCAATGTTTAAATTAACCGTACCAGTGCCGGGTAGTAGGAAATTCCACACTAGGCAAAACCAGGCGAGAGGAACCGGCAGACAAGGAATAGCGCCTCGCATAACAGAATTATGTTCTACCAGAACATCCGGTATTTTAGCCTTCGGTACCTGCAACATTACGTATCGAGTTTTTATATATAAATAAGAAAAACTTTCTAGAAATGATCTCTAAATTGTTATTTTTGCCAGGTGGACCAACCGTGTTGTATCTCCCACAAGAAGTCTACTTCAAAAATATTCACTCGACTTGAAACTTTCTATGTCTTCGTTTTATTATATATAAGTCTCTCTGACGTAAAGTTTTTAAAAATAGTAAAATAAAAAACCTCAAAAAACAGTATTATAATTTTTGTATCATTAAAATCATAATTGCGATTTTTGTGATATTCGAATAATTACAACTTTTTGCAGAAAAAAATGACAGTAAATAATATTTCAAGAAAATTCCAAAACTGAAACTAAACTTTTAAAGATCGAACAAACTGCGACCATGAAAAGTTTAGAAATTGAAGGATGCAAAATGGCGGTTTGACTTCCTCGATGTAATTTTTATTTTAACAAAAGGTATCCATGTACCTCCGATAAAGGTGGCGGCGCCACGCTCGTAAGACTGTGCTTGGCACGTGTGTTTCTTGCGTGTTGTTGCGTGTCCGCGCGTTTGCAGCTGCATTTGCAACAGCTAAATGCGCGACGGCAGAGCACACCGCATCTTCTCTCGGGCGGACAGCAAACGGTAGGCTCGGCAGGGGCGATCCTCGATTTTCTCGTACAACACTTGAGCTCTCGTAATCTCTCTCGCAAAGACAAAGATTCTCGATCTTTCGTACGAACGCATCTGTCAGTAAAACGTTTCATAACGCGATTAAAATTTTGCAAATCCCCAAAATTCTTTCAAAACTCGCAGTGTCTCTAAATAATTCGATAACAGCAACAAACCACAAAGGTTTAAAAAAGAATTTGAGAAGTGACGTGATTCTTTTTAAATTATCGCGTCGCTTTTTGAAAGACGTCTTGAAAATTAATGTCTCTTTTGGTGAATATAAATTTTTATGGAGATATTAACGAAAAGCATTTGAGTAGTCTAAAACTGAAAGATTTCCAGAAGATTTCCAGAACAACTTCTGCTGATAGAAAGTCTAGAAACGGAAAATATAAATATATAATAGCAAAGTTGAGCAAAGAGGATAATACAGGAGAAAAGAAAGGAGGATATGTAGAAAGCAAAGAAAAATTACAAGAAATCGAGTTTCCAAAAAGTTCTGGAAGCAAGTTTGTGACTAACATTAAGTTAAGATAACAAGTTGTAGAGTGAGCCAAGTGAAACTAAGAATCAATATCATGAGATATCTTCGCGCGTGATACTTTTACAGAGAATTACTTTTTTTCTAATGTAAATTTCCTATTTTTATCATGTCATTTTTGTCTGCCTTTAAAAATGTTCTACTCTCTTGATATAATAGTATTTAATATTCTATTTGTAGGATAAGATGATACAATTTCGAACGTCAACAATTCTGTACAAAATAAAATTTAAATCCAATTTTCGAAGTTTAAGTTTAATTTCTTCCTGTTTGATTCCTTTCAATACTCTCCACACACTGAGATCAGTTGAACCTTTAAAAAATTATAATAGATTATTTTATTTCGTTCGGAATTATATCAGGTTCGACATTGTACCATATTACCCTGCATGACGCGAATGCCATTATTATTCAGTGTAACGAGAACGTAGCGCTTGATCGAGTAAAATTCAAATCTTTAAACGATACCTGCATCGCGCCTTTAATTTCGACCAGCACGACAACGCGTTTGTTGTAGGCGGCGATGCATCGAGCACGGGGGTTGCAATAGGCGGCGAGATATCGTTGATCACCGTTGTCCTCTCTTGATTTCTGGTCCATAGGAGACCCTTGGGATCCCTGCGGCAAGCGAGACACCTCATACTGGAGCAGCACTTGCAGTAATGACTCAAGGATGTTCCCCAACGTGCCAACAATTTTTTACTATCGTTTTGCTTTTTGTTACTGGATGCCAAGACACTGCAATAAAATCAAGCCACGTCATTATTTATTTTTTTTTTAGACTAAGCTGAGGAGTAAAACGTGCATACATTTAATTTGAATAACTGATCACTTAAATTGTAAATTAATTTATATAATGGCATATATTTATTATTTCGAAATATTCAGGAATAAATATATGTACACATATAGATAATTCTTGATAGAATATAGAATTATAATATACTACATTTAGAATTACACATTAAATAGTTTTTCCTTAAAATAAGAAAGAAAATCCTTAAAATAAAAATGATGAAAAATATTTATCGTTTAATTTACTTTATGCACCGTTAATGTCTGACAATTTATTCCTGAAAGATTATTATCGATTTTGCATTAGCTGCATAGACTATTAGCACCTATATACACCTATATACATGCATATGAGTCATATGTAAAATGTATAGTAATATCAGAAAGAGTATTGATTACGTTAACTAGATTCTCAAGGAGCGAATTATTCTCGCGACGTAATATTTAGATTTACTTAAAGGCGCAAATTTTATATTAATGAAAATCACAGTCTTCTTTAAACACTAATAAAATATTAGTTTACGTCAATAGTTTCAAATATTTTAAAATTAAATAGACAACAGTTACAAGTTGAATAGAAATTACAAGCCATTGTACATAAGTGCACATTTAAAAGTGTAAATCCCTATTTACTAGCGAAACGCGTTTCGTGACTCAGGGTACCCACCCGCGGGCCAAGCCGCAATCGACGAAGAACAGAAGATTCCTCACATGAGGCTAATCGTAACACAAAATCCTCACGCATACCAAAGCGGTGCACCTCAAAGCCGCGCAGGTCCCATCCCTCTGTCCGCGCACGCAATCGCAATCAAGGAAATCCCTTACCTACACGCAACAGCTTCGCAGGATGGAGAACCACCTTTTGGGAACTTTTTCGGGAGCGATCGGTGAACGTCGATGACGCGATTGCCAATCTCGAACTCTCGATAAGCACCCCGACGGCAGACCCACGCGGAGACAAGCAGAAACATCGGCGAAGATTAAGCCGCCCGAGAGTGGCGATCGAGCACGAGGACGATCGCGAGGATTGATGAGGGCGGAAATAAGACCACGATAGCGGTTCGTAAGTCAACGAGCGGCCATCACCGGCGGCCGGTCTCCAGTGACTTCGGTCAGTGATTGCGGGTGCCGCAGTCGCGGCAGGACGTGGCCGACGAGGGTGGCAGGGCGAGGGTGCGAGGCCGGCCACGACCGGTCACGCAAAGATTTTCAACCTTCCCTTCACGTTCCCAATCCCCGACCCCGCGAGCTGACCGCGAAATCGATACGCGCGACACGAAGTTCTTTACCTTAACCGGCCGGTTTTCAAGGCGGCCGCGGCCGCGGCCGATTTTCTCCCCGGAGCGCGTAGCGTCGCGTCGCGACGCGCGTGTCGGTGGCTGCACGGCATTAAAGCCGCGCTTGTAATTCGTCGTTACCTTAACCCTTAAAAGGATAGCGAGCACTTTCGCTGATAGAAGGAGGGCAGTTGCTGCTGGATTGATTGTGCTTATTTTAAAGTTACGATATCACACTCGTTCGTGCATATAAAGTTGGAAGACTCTCAAGTGACAACAATATTTGTCTTTCGCGATAAAAAAAATGTAACATATTTTTTTTAATATGTATTTCTTACTAATAACAAACAAATGACATTGAAAATATTTGAGAAAAAAAATTTTACAACAAAAATATATTACATGTCGTTTATAATAGCTATATACATTTTTTTAATTTTTACTCTAGATTATTATAAATTATAATATGTTTACTTATATTGAAAAAAATACAAAAACTACTAATTCAATTTAACTATTTCTTTTTATTGATTAAATATTTGTTTATTGTAAGTAAATATTTACTTGATACTATTTAAAGAAATGTATTAAAATTTAGTGAATTTTTTCAATGTATATATTTTTTAATTCTTTTATTTCATCATAATTATTTATTTTACATCATATTCAATTTTTGATATTTTTTCAAGCCTGAGAAAAAAGAATTTATTTTTTCGAGGAATAAGATTTCTTATCGACCGCCACGAGTGTTATAAACCGCGATCGTAAACTGATAGATATTGGTAAACAGTAAAATATTAACAGCCAACTTCTGTTGCCAGTTCACGACAAAGAATATTATGCTATTATGCGCTGAGAAAATTGTGAGAAAAACGATGCTCAGCGTACTCCGATAAATTTTCAGTTCCGTCAGTTCAATATATTTTCACGAGAAATTTTTTGCGAGCACTTAAAAAATCCACTTTTCACGAGAGACTAGAAGATATTTTATTATTTATAACGTGAACTTAATAATTTATTTTCTATAATTATCTACTTTTTTATGCTCTTTGTTCGTTGATTGTTGAAATTTTTTGTTAACATAGAAACTTTTTTGTATCTTATCTTTCATATTTCTATTTTACATTCCCGCAGCTTCAAGGAATTAAATTAAAAAATTTCTCGCCCACATCATTGCGACGAAATAAACCTTCGCGCTCCTCCAAAGGGAAAAACTTATCCGCCCTAAAAGGAATTAACTCAGCGGCACACTAAAAGCATGCTGGTTGGATGATTATATAGCTGAATCATGATTCACGACACGCTCGACAAAACCATTAAAAGTTGCACATGTCTGAAAGTTCGTATTCCACCATTTGTGCCGCTGATTAAAGAGGCATGGCGGCGGAGGGGTCGAAAGGGAGGAGGATGGCAAAAGCGGCAGAAAGTTTGCGCAAAATGCAGTGTCATTAAAGCGCAAATACCGCGATCTACTTCGATGTGAATAATTTTGTGCCGTGCCGAACACTTTCCCCTGTAATTGCGCCACTAACGAGAGCAGAGAATCGCAGAAATAAAATCCGCGCGCGGATTATCTTGGGAATCAGAGCGTCTTTTTTCAGAGGTTTCACGTCGGTCTCCGGAGGATGTGCCTTCTAAATGAATGAAATTCGCCTTAACTAAGGCATTGCCCAACGAGCGTTCTCCGTAATTTAATTAATCGGTCAGATCGATCTCGCGCACGTTGCCGCAACAACGCGCACATTGTGTCCGGGAATAATGCGTGCTAATTCTCGTTATTTTTGTTTCCTCATTTTCTTCGCTGAATCTCTAGCCTGTGATTCTTAACATAACATCAAAGATCATAATTTTTGATGAATCTAATGGTAGAATATTTAATTATAAGACTTGTAGGATTAAAAAAAAATATTCCCAGGAATTTTTGTAATTAGAGAATAATATATCGGTTGCAACATTGATACAAACAAAAAACAATATTAAAATTAGAAACAGGACCGTTTATATAAATAAAATTTGTTAAAAAATTTAAAACAAAACGCCTAGAAAAAATATGGAAGATATCACTCGTTTGCTAACAACAACCTAATTAAAAAATTGTCACTTTTAAGTTATTTACAAAATAAAAACGGAAACACAAAGAAAGAAAGAAAAAGCATACTTTAAAAGAACATACTTTTATTTTATAATCAATTATTATAACAAAATTGTATTTTAAAATTAATAATTTTAATGATTCAAAGCATTCAAACTTATTTTCTGGAAAATTTTGAATCGTGTCGTTGTTGTAGTAAATGCGCAATATAATAAAAGGGATCTGGCGTTGCGTTTACTATCGGATTGCATGTAAATCGGCTTTTACCAAAAGGTAGATTCGGACGCAATGAAATGAATGCTATACTTCAGATCTACAGCAATTGTTTCGTGTCGCGCGAGCGGCATTATCATTCGCACAAATTGTAATAACTGTCGTTATAACACAAAGCTACAACAGCTCGTCGCCTTGTAAAACAGCGGCTACGTGTCGTGCCGCATAAATGTAACGGGAACAATCCCAGAAATTTCTTTACGCACGTAAACATAGTTCACCAAGGAGCGCAAAGGGCGAGTGATTAAGTGGTGATTACGACACACATGACTGACCCCATTAGCACGTATCTCAATAATAATAAACGAGATATTAATCACATCAGAAAACTTTCGTTAAAACAAACAGATTGTTGTTGAATAACAATTAACAATATTTTCTCTCACGAGCACGTTCAATCAATTTTTTTAGTTTGGCAGAAATTGATAGCGACAAAAATATGTGACATATAAATTCTGCTACATTCCAAAAGTACCTTTGAATTGCGATAGCAGCGTGACAAGCAAAATTAATAAATGAACAAGCGTGACAGATCGTTAGTAATAAAATGTTATACGCTTGTTCGCAATTTGGAGCACATTTTTCAGTATTATATTGTGCTCGGAAATAACGCGAGAGCTTTTCGCATCGCTATCAAAATCGCTCGCGTTAATAAATATGCGTTAAAGGTCTGAAATGAATTTTTCTTAACATGTTATTAAGCGAAACTTTTCATTTAACGATCCCACTGAAAGATATGAATTTCTGACATTAATAATAACGTAGAAAAAAAAAGAGAAGCAAGATATTGATATGTTCAATCCTAATGTAAAAGCATATTTATCAGTAATATAATCTATTCGTTACTCTCCGACGAAATTCACGGATTATTAATGCAAACGAATTAATAATGCAAACCGCCTGCAATTCCGTGCTCCTAACTGTCGCGGCATGCAAATATAAAAATGCGTGTGGACTCCGTTTATTTATAGCTCGCATGGTGCCGTCTACAGATTAAAAATAGTTTTTCTATCGATTAATATTAACTTAATCAATGCTCGCGAGAAGGATGTGACCGGAGAGGAACACGCGAGAGAGAAATTGTAATTGAGGTATTCAATTCCATCGCGGAAGAGAGAGAGCTTATCTCGAGTATGTATATTAATGTTCTTATGCAATTGTCAAATTGTAAACGTCACGTGTTTTAAATAATAAAGCCACGCAACATGCAAATTCGAATATTCAGTTGCTGCTTATCTATATTATGACTCGCTTCACTGTAAAAAGTGCAATATTTAACATGTTTAAAGCATCTTTGCAAA